ACTGAGCTTTAAGAACGAAAGTGAGATACCGCAGGGACCGGAAGGCAGTAATCTTAGGTGAAATCACAAAGTCCTCAGTGTAGTTTCTAACCTCTTCTTCGTGCATGCAAAGTTTACAAAATACAGAAGCAAAGCCTTCAAGACATTACACACGTCTCTACATGAATTTGCTGGCTGATCATTCCCCTTCTTAGTTCCTGGCTTATTCTTGCAACGGTACTGAGTACTCTTCCTTTTCATCTTCATTGTCCACATGACTTCGGAAACTGGGTCATTGCTCTCTGGGCCTTACTTTCTCTCTGACGTCATTGCTAATATTAGGTTAAGTAACCTTGCTAGCAAACTAGAGTGAACTTTCAAGACTTCATTATATTATTTAAAAATGATGTAGTTTTGCACTGTAATCGGTACTTGTAGAATAGGCCTGTATAACAGAAACATAAACATCTTTACATAAATTTGTAAAATTATAGCAAAAGAAGTTTTAAATGAACTAATTCTTCGCGCCTTCAACTGTACGCTAACGCGAATGTGTAGTTCCTGCAGGCGTCGCTAGAAAGCAGCGGGAACGGGAAACCATGAGGTGCTGCAGTCTTGTGACAAAATACACAACTAATTACGAAATTTTCTGCTCTGGGATTGATTTTCTGTCGGACCTAACTGCTTGAGCGTATGCTATGTACATACCTAAACAGATGCCTTTAAAATATGCCTCCTATATGAAACGGCTTTCTTTGTGAGTTGACGGCAAATGAAAAACAGCCCGCCATCCTGGTCACACCGACTCTTGTCCCTCCCTTAGCGGACCGCCACGACGCCGCTGCTCTTTGAAATTAATTTACATAAATATTTTGCCCAATTATTAAAGGAATAAACGCTGTGACATTTGTGCGTACTGTTTTCTTGAACTTCTCATATTTTTATGCTTAAAACTTATATCATGTAAGACATTCAGCAGCAACGAAGCCCAAAACCTGGATCCGGAAATGGCCAGAGCAATCACACACGTCACAGTGCACACAGCAATGGCGGAATGAGGAATAGCCAGTGAGAACCGAAAAAGTGCTGCTTTAGCACAATTTTGAAAACATAGAATCTCATATTAAGTTACCATGGGTATGAACTCTTGGGTCCGTGGTGAGATTGAGCTAAGACACCGGCGTACAAGACACAGTACATCAGGCGCCTCTAACGTGTGGAAGGAATGGCCTTCAAATCTCTGCCTTAAAACACACAATCTTATAATCCTTAAGGAAAACATTGTATAGATTTCGAAAGGAAAAGATGAAGGAAACAGCTTCAGAAGCCTCGAAACTGCATTTGGCTGCATAATCCTTATTATAGGAGGGGGAAAAAGAAGAATTTTATACACAGGAACCCACTTTTGAGGTACACGGTTACTGCTCTTAGGAACAAAAATTCCTATAACTGCACCAACATTGTATGTCCATTAGTTTAACGTTATTGATCCCAAATAATAACACGGAAAAACGGAGAATAAACAAGATGTTCGTAGCTGGGGAAAGAAGACCGATTTCTCTTTCCTAACAAACATAACAGCCATGAAGTGACTTTTCCCCTTCCACGTACTTTTTTATTTGTCATCTGTCTGGTCCCCTGTTGTCTGTCTTTCCACGGCACTCAGTTCTGTCGCTGGAGCTGGACAGAATTAATGGCCCGTGTCTGCCGGAGGCAGCTCACTGTAGTGCTAACACCCCGACTCGAGGCGCCGGAACCGGATATGCGGGAAACACAACAATTACATATCCAAATCTGCAGGTTTCTGCCAATCATTCCAAACCAACCATCTGCATAATACAAAGGAAAATAGGGCTTTTAAGTATCAGTAGGACATGTTCGAATAACATTTTGGACCACTGGAAGCCAAGGCTGTGTGTAAACCTCGGCGATAATTCTAAAATTTTTATAACATCTAAAAGTTTGTGACTATGGTAAATTAATACAAATATTATGTTTCTCGACATTATGCATCGTCCTGTTTTTATTTTAAACACCATCTTATTTTTGCATGAAAACACGACGTTTCGGAGACTGGATTCGGTCTCTGTCTTCAGGTGGAACTTATTCACTTGGGTCCCATCGACAGACCTAGTAGCTCTCCCAGGTTCCAACAGAAGACGAAGACAAAATCCAGTTTCCGAAACGTCGTGTTTTGAAATAAGAACGGAACACTCAAAATTACTGGGTTTTTGGACTTTGTCCATCGTCCGGTATTTAGAAACTAGAATACACAAAGTTTCAAAACTGGATCTATTTCCGTCCTCAGGTGAGGGGGGTGACACCTCCAGTTGGGCCGCTTAGAAAGAGCTAACCATGATCATTGGAAGAAGAGGACGGTGTTTTCAATAAACAAAAGGACGATGGACATGTCCAGAAATATAATATTTGTACTAAAATATATAGTAGAAAGGTGTGCAGCACCTGTAGATGATTTAGAGTTGATTCAACTGGTTCTAAATAGATATCCAATTAATTAATAGACTGACTAACTAACTACTTTACTTGCAAGGGGCAGAATTCGTCTTTTAATTCAGCCATTTCCTTACAGGCAACCACTTCTCGTGGTGCTCTCCGTTCCTATAAGGGAGGCCTTGGAGAACGCATCATGGCGGCGGAGCCACTCTTTTGGCCCAGACACTCAAAGGCCGCTGAAGACACAGCAGGACTGAATATGCTCAGCGAGTGCTGTGGAGAGTACCAGTGCCGCTGTACTTACTTGTAGTTTCGAGTCATGTAAAGTAAAAGTAAAAGTAAAGTAAAGTAAAGCTATCCCTGTAACAGGCCGTGGAGGCCCATAGGGCTGTGAGATGTTGAGCTTCCCACATTCTCTAGACAATCTGCTCATAGATAAATGGCCAATAGATTTATTGTCCGATCAGAAATCCCGTTGAGAGACACGTGACACTGTTAAGGTTGCGACATACTCCATATTTGCCACTACGCAAATTCTATCATTCAGCCCATACCCATGTATTTCTCACTTGAGCCACACAAAAATATTCAGCTATATCATCACATAATTGATTCCAATTAATATAATAATTAATTGTTAGCGGAACCGGATGATAACTTGCGTATAGTGATTCAAACACTTCAATTGAATCTGGAATTCGAATATAAATATTTGTGTTAAAAATCGAGTTAGGAAGTAATTCGTAAGAATTTCTGCCCTATTTGTTAATGTACCAGGAGAATAATTACGATATACTCAGGATTCCCGGCAGGGGCAAGAGATTTTTTTTTTCTGCTCCACAACGTCCAGACCGCCGCTGAGGCCCATCCAGCGCCTATCTAATGGCTGTATGGAAACAGCTCCATTTAAGTCACTGTTCAATAAGATGCATTTAATATTGCATAATTTTATGAATAGTGATGTAAGACTGTTTTTTGATATAAATTTAACACATTTTTTTTATCTATTTTAATGATTATAAACTGTACATATATATTTATATTTGTATTGTACTATATTAATTATGTGACTGGTTCTATATCTATGTATATGGATTTATGGAATATACAATAAATGAATGAACGAATGAATGTGCAATAAACACTCGTAAAAGAAAAACAAGCCTACAGCACACTTCACTGGTATACTTTCCTGATCCCTCGAAGATTTCTCTAAATGCGGCAAATCCTTGCCATTACAGTATGGTTACAGAAAATATTTTATTTTTTGATCTTCTATGGTCTGTATCAACAAATAAAATACATTCTTTAGTCAGAGACCAGAGAAGATCTGCCATCTGTTGTCAGGACAAAACAATATCACAATCTAAGTGAAAACTTCTACACATCTCTGTGACGTGGATAAGCTGTTAGGACAGAGGGGCCAACCATTTCTTGAAAATGATGTTAGTTGACAATGGGAAATTCCGTAATTACTAGAATCTTAATGTACATTTAAAATCTCGTTCTCTTCAGTATTTTATGAAGAATCAGTGATCCTCTTAAGTACCACCATAAATTGGTTTATGATGTGTTCGTGGTTATTATTTGGTGTGGAGGTTTTTCATTGGTGCAAGATACTGAGTATTGGATTTTCCAGTTATTTTGTTAGATCTGTGAAGTATCTTGTATCTTTATTTTCATTTCCATAGATCCTTACTGGCTACCAAAGCCATCAGATATGGAACATGACACAATTACATATATTAGTTCTGAGAGCAGAAACTAGTCTTCTTACAACTATATTCATAAAAGGAACCTTAATTATACAATTAAATAATTTAACCAGCATGTACAATTCATGAACTAGACATTAATACCTTATTAAGCTCATTTCTTAAAAATATGCATACAAATATCAATTGAAATTCTGTTATACAAATATAAACAGCATTTATAAAAAGTTTAGTTCATCTTGTATTTGAAATACTCGTCCAACGTATAAAATGAATGGGAATACAAGAAATTTTTCAAGACCAATTTAAATTGTTTTGTATTATGGGACAGATCTTTTATTGCAACAGGTAAGCTGTTAAGCGCCTTAATCCTTAATCCTTAAGTCCCCTTCTGGTTGTTGCTTGCCTATTTCCGCATTGTAGCTTGTGTGAGTGCTGATTAAATCAATATCACATATACTGACTTTTGGCCTGAAATTTGAGCGAGTTCCATGCGTGTGTGGTTCTCACAGTGGCGTTGTGAAAAGTTCTGTCTTCTAGAATAGAACGCCAGGAAGTATGGTGAAAGGCACGACATTTCGGAGGAAACTATCGCCCATCTTCGGGGTCGATGGTGAGCGATGGTAAGTGTACGAAACAGGAAATCGGAGTGAGCAGACGATATGTCAGAGTGAGAAGGATGAGTTTGCGGAGGTTAACATTCCTACCGACTGGGCTATCGCTACTACAACCTCGCGCCTGTTGTAGTTTCTCCATCTCTTTCATAGATGACAGGCTAGTACTCAATGTTGGAGTGCTGGTATGAACCAATCGCTAGATGGCAGACCACGAGCGCCATGAGCTATGACGACATTCGCTAAAGCCGGTTGGTGCAGGTTGGTGCTTGTGGCGCGTATTAGTTGTTGATGTTTCAACATTTGTTTTGTTGTGTGTGATTTTTTTTTGTAGTGTACGTTGTGTCGGCAGAAGAGTATAATGTCAGACGTTTTACCATATAGAGCAGAATATGCCAAAAGCGGTCGCGCCTCGTGTAGGGGATGTAAAAGTCCTATTGCAAAGGATACTCTGCGTTTGGCCGTTATGGTGCAGGTAGATATTAAACATGCTTTTCGTTCTTTAGGAATTTGTTCCCGCGCAACAGAAGACACATGAAAGATGCTTAAAAATGTATGAGATTGAGGTTCTCACGGCAGTTTACAGTCTTCCGGTGCGTGATACTGTGTAATTCCGTAAGTTGGTGTCAACGTTTCGGAGGAAACTGCTGCCTGCGTCTTCAGAATTGAAGTAGTAAATCTTTTACTCTAATGAGGGGGGCAGCAAGTTCTTCCGAGACGTTGGTTTTCATTAGGTTGATTACACAGCATAAGGACGTAAAAGACTAAATGCAGCTAGGATGGTGATGCCTGTTGGCCGATACAAATGACAAATTGATAAAAGAGGCTGGATGATTCAGTTAATGATGTAAACCAAATTCACTGTTTAAAAATATTTGTAGATAAAAATATATTCTCATTATCGTAAATCAAACGATTAAAGAAAGGTAAAGCTATCCCTGTAACAGGCTGTGAAGCCCCATACCCTTGTGAGATGTCAAGGCTCAAAACAAGAACAAAAACAAACTCCGTAATTATAGTCCCTGAGCGACCGCCTCTTGTCGGCGAAGTTAGTGCGGAGAGAGGATGTTATGGTCAGCGCAACGAAACCCCATGGCCGTTAATGTAGGTTTTTCTAGACCGGAGCCGCTATTTCCTTGAAATAGCTCCTCACTTATCATCACAGTGCTGAGGGGACCCCATTCAAGACTCACTACTTCAATTCGCAGGGGATCTCATTTCTGTCTGAATTAATTTATGTTTTTTGTCTGGACTGTGGTAACTTTAGGTAAAAATATTAAGTTGTAAATGATACGTGAAAGCTGAAAACCAATGAAGGGTGGCCTTGGGACTGCTGATAATTTTCATTTGGGAAATCATGTGCATCATTTCATGTAACTGACATACAGAAATAACAATTATTTCTTAATTTCTATGAATTATTTTGCAGTCACCAGTGTTTGATGGGAAGACCCCTCACTGGTATCACTTCATGTGCTTTTTTGGCCGTCAGCGACCAAAAACAGTGGGTGATATCTCTCATTTTGAGTCCCTGAGGTGGGAGGATCAGGAGAAGATTAAGGCCAAAATAGGTAAGAAATGGGTTATAGATGTTTCTATTACAATGACCACTTTGGAGGAAGTAGTATTTAGATGTTTCCTCATTGACATCAATATTTACTCACCATTAGCTGCAATAGAATAGTAATAGAGCTTGTTTTTAGATTATGTAGTTTCATATGGATCTCCTAATCCCGTGAGACTAGGATCAGATCCAGATAAAGGTTAAGGTAAAAAAAGGGTAAAGTTTTCCTTGTACTTAATTAGTTAAGCACCACGGCATGATATATAGGGGAGTGGAGGCATAGTTCCACCTTTCTTGACCTTGACACTAGATAGAGGTGAGCAGTCAGTTTCATGCCCATGCCACTTTACCCCCTACGAAAAGAGCTCCCAGTACCCGATGGATAAGAGGTTGGGTGGGCCCCAGGGTTGGTCTGGATGCTGTAGAGAAGAGAAAAATCCTACACTGCTGGGAATCAAACTCAGCCCATCCAACATGTAGTCTGTCACTATACCAACTGAGCCATCCTGACTCTCTCCAGGGAAACCAGGTGGGGCTGAAATTAAATTGGACACATCAGCTGCCCGTCGATGCTGATGATGTGAAATGTACTGGGAGTTCATTTTGCACTTATCTGAAAGATATTTAAACCAAGTTTCCAGTTTAACATAGATCAGTTTTTTGGTTACTAAGAGTTGATCTTTGACTTAAATTGCTCAAAAGATGTATTCTCAACAGTACAATGATCAGGGGTGAACAAATTGTATTTCCAGTCCCCAGTATAGTGTTCATGGCATGATGCTCAATTAGTTATACAGTAACAGTTTTACCTTTTACAGATAATGAGACGAGTGGGTTTGTGGAGTCCAAGCAATGGCTTTGTGCAGTTATTTAAGAGTAATTATGGTTCTCAGATTTCCTCATTAATATCCACTCACTTGTGTGTCAGGTATATGCATGTCTTGGCTATGAATGGCACCATTGAGAACACTTATGTTTTAAGGACAGAAGTTTGGGTTCCATGAATTTTGCTGTATTGAGGTTTAGCTGTGCTTCAGCCATGACAGCTAATAGTTCTGAGCCTAGGAGATAAGGCTGAATGTTTCAGTGTTAGGCACAGTATTCAGATGTTTCTTGTTTGTTCCAAAGCTTTGAAACATTTTACTGGTGAGAGGTTTACTGTTTATAATATGCCATTTATATCTCATATGAAGGAAATTATTGCACGTGATAATTTAATGGTAATATGTTGTAGCAAGTGTGGGAAGGAGAGGAGTTTAGTTTAATCTTTAATGTTGTTGTTTTGTGGTAACATTCATGTTTGGAATTATTCTCAGAGGGTGGTGGAGCAGGTGCAGTTGCTGAAGAAAGTACTAAGGTCAAGGGCAAGAAACGAAAGGCAGCCGCAGAAGATAATGTTGCATTGAAGGATTTCACTGTTGAGTATGCAAAGTCGAGTCGATCCACATGCCGAGGCTGTGAAGAGAAGATTATGAAGGTGAGTGCTTTTATGCATCTTCATTTTTTATTTGTTTATGTGTCTGTGTTTGGGGGGCGAGGAGGCTAAAAAAACATAAAGAAATAAAAATGCAAATAATATCTTCTAACTCAGTGATTACCAATATTAATTGTACTAAATTCCTGGGTTTAAATGTTGATAGTACAATGTCATGGAAGGATCATATCGCTGAACTGTCATCAAGACTAAATAAGGCTTGTTATGCAATAAGGGCAATAAAACCATTTATGTCTTTAGACTTAATGAAGTCGATCTATCATTCCTATGCACACTCTATTCTATCTTACGGTATTGTCTTCTGGGGTAATTCTTATCTCAGTGACAGTATTTTTAAAATTCAAAAAAGAATAATAAGAGTTATTACTAGCTCAGGTAGATACGACTCATGCCGTGAATTATTTAAAAAATTACAAATATTGCCACTTCAGTCTCAATACATATTCTCACTACTTGTCTTTGTCATCAAGAACAGAAGTTGCTTTATATCTAATTCTGATATTCATGATATTAATACTCGTTACAACCACAATTTACACTTGCCTTCTACAAATCTGTCATCTGTACAGAAAGGAGTACTCTTTTCTGGAAGTAAGATTTATAACCACTTACCACTAAATATTAAAATGCTATCTAAAGATATTAAGCATTTCAAATCGTCATTAAAAACCTACCTTACAGAACATGCATTCTATAGTATTGATGAATATTACCAATTAACTTCCTAATGAATATGGTTCTTTTTATATTTCTTGCCCTTTGTACATTTAGATTAGTTGTAGGAGGTCTTCCCACTGTAAGTTCAATTCATTCATGTTTCATTGTCTTCATTATTATATGGTGTATTTGTTCAAACTGTGTTTTGTGACACTGTTGTGCAATACTGTGTTTTGCTTTGTGTCTTTGATCAAAATGTGTTTTTGTGACACTGCTGTTATGCAATACTGTGTTTTTACTTTATGTCCTTATTGTGGTCTTTATGAATGTACGTATATATCATTATTTTATGTTTATATTATATTTGTATCTTGACAGGTTCTATATCCCATAGGTTGGTTTGACCTTGTATGGATTAACAGAATGCAAATAAATGAATGAATGAATGAATGAATAATCAACTACAGCTAAACCATTTTTTATTATTATAATTTAATTAGTAAGGTGCATGCCTCATTGCTACTTTTTGAGTGTGCACCATATAATATGACTGGCTTTCACACGCAGACACACAGCAGTAAAAGGTACCTGGCTGTAATACCCAAAGACTATATTTACTGTGTATATCTATCTATATGTCTGTTTTCTGTTTCTCCCACTTTGTAGCATAGGATATCCATGAAACACTTTAATTCACTTCAGTTTCCTAATCTTAGGCAGTCTGTAGGTCTCCTTGACTGGGGGATCAGTCCATCTGAGTTACCCTGACTCCTGGCTCCAGTACCAGACTCAAATAAATTGAAATATTCTTGGAACAGTGATTGCAGCTGCTACAGGGAGCAGTTGGATGGTTTTGCTCTCTTAGTAGAACTGTACCTTTAGGCTGAGTCTACTGGCTTTGTGATATGTGCCGTGACATTCTTCGTGGCACACGTTTAAAAATGCTTAGGGTGTACTACTTCATGAAGTTTTGACAGAATAGATTATAATGATTTTCTAGGCCGTGGAAGGTGGTTTCTCAAGTACTTCTTTGGAAGATCTTATTATATCACAGTCTTGATTATATACTCTCATTTCCTGTCCCGCACGTCATATTGTATGTAATGCTATATTGTTGTCTTAGTTAATTAAGCTGTGGCATGTGTGGTAGATACATTTGTTGTTTACTTTTTCACTTTTAATCGTGGAATAAATTGATGTATAAGGTACAGACAGATGACAAAGACGAGGATTGAACTAGGGGAATATGGTAAATTTGTGTCTTACCTTTGAACTTCAGAACTCAAATTACAGGTGATTGCGAGAGAGGGTGGAGGAGAAACACCCATACAGTAGATTTTGAGAGAAGTAAATCAAAAATGAATCACTAGCATCACAGGAAACTGATATATTGCATAAGAAGACAAGATCCTGTGATGTGAATTTCATGTTTTACTCTTTGCTGCTGTTTCTGTACTTTTTGTGGGTCAGATCCAAACAAAAAGTGATTTTTATTTTGTTTTAATACTTTTCCGTTTAGGATGAAGTACGTGTTTCGAAGAAGGACTTCGACAGTGAGGGTGCAAAAATGTATGGTGGCCAGGAGCGTTGGCACCATGTAGATTGTTTTGCAAAACTGCGTGATGAACTTGAATTTTGGGAATCTGGAAGTTGCCTTCCTGGTATCAAAAGCTTGAAAAAAGAAGATCAACAACTAGTGAAAAACAAATTGCCCAAAGTTGAAAAGTAAGTGATGTATTGAATATAAAATATTCTGTTAATTAAAGGAGATGTGTAAAAGTAAAGATAAAGTTTAATTAAACACTGTGCCATGTAGACGTAAGGGGGAGTGGATGTATAGATCCACTTTTTCTTGACCTTGGCACTAGTTGTCGGTGAGTGGTCAGCATCACGCCCTGGCTGCTTTACCCCCGGTATTCATTGTATAGGAGGTTGACTGGACCCCAGAGCCAGCCTGGACAAGTGGAGAAATGAAAATTCTTGACCCTACTGAGACTTGAACTTTGACCTCTTGGTCGTCCAGCCCATAGCTGGTCGCTATACCGATTACACTATAAAGGAGATGGGTAGATAGTGCAAATTAGTTCACACCAAATAGGCATCATTCTAAGGGCAAGCATAAAACAAGGAAACTGAAAACTGCAGCATATTCTGAGCATGAAACAAATTGCCAGATTGCTATGTGCACATTGCAGACTCTACGGCTGGTTGTAATCTGTGTAATATCAAATAACAATATTGATTCTGTCATATTATAGTGGATGCTCAGGCAGAATACTCATGAAGAGATGAAGTTGTTATCTGCATCCGCTGTAGAAATTTACAGTTGTTTAGCTGTTCACATCCTCCCAAGTTGAGCATGTACATCCAGCTTAAATCATGATTTCAATTTCAGTTTTGTACACTGATATCTGCAATATCAGATAATAAGTTTGACGCTGTCATGATATGGTGAAGTGTCAGGCAGCATGCAAAGAGAGTAAGCACTGAATTGCATCTGCTCTTCCATGACAAGTTCTGGTCTGAAGATTTCAGTGTATTGAAGGAAGTTGACTAGGATCATATAGGGCTTGAGGTTTGAAAAACAAATTTCAAATGGCAGGCAGTTGCATTTATAGGAGAAAAATTGCCAATTACTGTCAGATAAAAAACATTTATTCACTGCTCTTTATGTACAGTGCAGTTTTCCCAGTTTCATAACCATCCACAAGTTCTGTTGCAGTCACTTTACAATTTCCCCAGTTTTTAATGTCCAAAAGTGTGTTGTACTCATGTTACAATTTTTCCCAGTTTCCAAGTCTGCCATGAGCCATATCATGATCGTGTTACAGTTTATCCAGTTTTCAGCCCGTCATGAGTTGTGTTGTGATCACATTTCAGTGTCTCCACTTTTTGCATGATCAGCTGAATCTGACAGTTTCTTCATAGTTGTGGCTGTGTTTCAATTTTCAGTGTCCGTGGTGTGTGCTTGCATCAACTCATAACTAACTAACTAACTTCATGGAGCTGAACCCTTCTTGATAACCCATGAATTGTGCAGCTATTCAAGAACTTCCCAACGTTTTATGGGACCTGAAGGCTCCTTACCATGTTCACAAGAGTCTTCCACTTGTCCCTGTGCTGAGCCAGATCAATCCAGCCCATACCACCCCATACTTTCTAAGATCCGTTTTAATATTATCCACAGACCGACCTGCGTCTTGGTCTTCCGAGTAGTCTCTTTCCCTCTGACTTTTCTCCCCATTCGTGCTACATACCCTACTCGTCTCATCCTCATTGACTTGATCATTCTAATTACACTTGGAGAAGAGTACAAGTTTGTCTGACACGTGTTGGTTCATCAGTATCTTTGTTTAACAGTGTTTCATCACCTCTTTAGAATGTAAAATTCTGAGTCACGGAATGGTTGAAAATACACGTGGGGAAGGAAGTCCCCAGTTTTAAGGTACACTCACAGTGATAGGCTATAAAGTAAGACAGAACGCTGTACAGTGGTCATGTTTGTCTCTCTGTGATATGATGTCATAGCCTGAACCACTGGACAAATGTGAAGGTAGAAACAGATAAACAGGTTAATAAATAAAATTGCAAAGAATGCTTATATGCTGTGTTACTGAATGCCCCATTTTTCTTGAGAGACTGAGGAAGGCGTAAAAGCTTAGAATAGCCAGTCTTTGGGCTCTGTGTGCATGCTTGTGTTTGGGGGGGTGGGGGCATGAGTTTTAATGGGAAGTTTTCAGTTCAGCAATATCAGGGGAGACTCAATTTTATTATGTTTATCCTACAAGCCGGAAGGTCGCGGGTTCAAGTCCGAATGAGGTCACTGGATATTTTTTAAATTGACCTAATCCTTCCAGCTGCACTATGGCCCTGGGGTTGACTCAGCCTCTTAACAGAAATGAGTACCAGTAATTAATTAAATAATTTTCCTGGTGAGTAAAGTGCGGCCGGCATGTAGGGCTGACAACCTCACCGCCATCTGTGAGCCGATTGTCTAGATAATGTGGGAACCTCAACATCTCACAACCCTATGGGCCTCCACGGCCTGTTACGGGGATAGCTTTACTTTACTATTTTTATCTTACTGTTGTAGGAAAGAAAAATCCACTGATGAAACTGATGGACCATCCCCATCAAAGAAAACAAAATCAAGCAATGCTGCAATAAGAGAACAGAGCAAAATAATGTACAAATACCGAGACCAGCTGAAGAAGGAACTTAGGAAGAGTGATTTGCAGGATCTGCTCGAATACAATGACCAAGAAGTACCAGTTGGTGAGGAGAGGGTCTGTATCCAGCATAACTTAAACTTAATTCACAGTTATGTCATATTAGTATGTACATAATGTGCCTACTGTTTGTCTCTTTCCAGATGTTGGATCGTCTGTCAGATATCATGACATTCGGTGCTCTTAAGCGCTGTGATGAATGCAAAGGTGGCCAGTTTGTGTTCTGCTCAGGTGTTGGCTATCAGTGTCTAGGAGATCTGACTGAGTGGACCAAGTGCCAGAATACAACACTTGAGCCAAAGAGGAAGCCATTCCGAGTGCCTTCTGAGCTCATGTCAGACCATGAATTCTTGTAAGTAGCTTGCATTACACAGTAAATGTGAAAATAACTTGAGTTTCAAAGCCAACCTCTGCTGGCTGTTGTAATTTGATCATGTCATCGTCATGTCATGTGATTAAACATAAGGTTTGGATTGGTAACTGGAATTACTGAACTCTTATGAACCATAACTACAATTAATTGTAGCGCTCTCAGAAATTCACACACTCAGCAATTCACTGCAGCAAGCACTATGTCTTCTCAGTGTGCTGTGTCTTCACTAGTCATTGCCTGGTGTCTCCAAAATGCCATAGGTTCCTCAGCTTTTGTGTTCACAGCTGGTACTACTCTCATGACTCAGCTCCACTCAGCTGGCCTGGGGCATTCGTTATATAGCATCAGCGTAGACCGTAGACCCAACAGAAAACACTGCTTCCAACAGCTACGCTGTTGTTGAATGCATGGTCTTTGTTATGCTGGTATGTCATTTATTGTGATATAAGTTAGTAACTGTCTCATTCTTCAGTTATAATATCACATTGTAGACAAGTTTTATTAAGAAGGAAGCAGTCTTCTGGGATGTGGCACCGTATAGATATTGTATTAACCGACGTTTTGAAGGAACGTATTGCACCTGCTCATGCTGGTTCACTTGCGGATTTCTTCCTGTCTTCTATCCTGAAGATGGAGATGATATGTTCCTCTGAAACTAACCAGCGTGAGCAGGTGCAACAGTCTGTTGCACTTGCTCATGCTGGTTCACTCACAGATTTCTTGTTGTCTTATACCCTGAAGATGGAGGTGATATGTTCCTCCGAAACGTTGGTTAACACAATATCTACATGGCGCCACATCCCAGAAGACTGCTTTCTTCATAGTCACTGCCATGAAAACCTAAAATCTTACAAGTTTTATTAAAACTACCTAACACAATATTTATTGTTATTTTGTTTTGTTTTTTTAATAAAGTCTTATACTACTTTGTTACACACATGCTTGTAATTAATTTTATAGTGGTTTTCATAAAAGAAGATCTAATCTGATTTTTATTGAACCGCATGTAGCCATTGATGCAGATGTGCTTCTAAACCCATGTGTACACTGATGCTCACTCTTTCAGGAAGTTTGCCTGTACAGAATGTGTATGCTTATGTATGTTGTGAAGAGAAATATATGCACCAAAATGAGGCTAAGTTCTCTTTTTGCAATAAGAATTATTGTATATTTTCACTAAACTTTCTTTGTTTACTGCTGCTTAGATCTGTGACAAACGTTGGTTCCTTGCAGGAAGAAGTACAAATATGTTGCAAGAAAAAGAATTGTGCAGCTTCATGCACCTTCATCAACCGTGAAGAGTGATCCATCTACCTCAAAGTAAGTAAACTGGATGAGATTATCAAACAGCAATGTCATTGTAACAAAGTTACCAGCTTCTGTTTTCAGCAAACTACGAAATTGTATGCAGAACATGTCTCAGTGTTGCACTATGCTAGATAATCTTTTTATGAACTGTATTGCCTGCATACAAATACCATCTGTGTCATTTCATCCAGCACACATCCTAGCATTCCAAAAACGGCTATAAACGTTTTCATTTATCTGAGGTTTGTTTAAAAAGTTCCCAGAATGAACACGTGGAGCGACACCAGTCACCTACATGTGGATGCATGTGGGATGGTTGATAGTTGTGACTAATCTACATGAAGCAATTTGTACCGGTGATGTCTTTTAGTATTATAATCATTTGTGTCATTGTGTTGTTTTTGTTCTGTTACATTGGGATGTGTCCATAAAGGAACAAAGAACTTGTGTGAAATATTGTGTCACATTTTGTAGAACAGCTGCAGAAACTCATCCCAAGATTAAGTGTTGTGGGAAGCTTTGAGGAAAGTGACACCACAAAAATTGCACAAATGTTTCCAGAGTGAAGAACTTCAGCAGATGAAAATGGTGGCATCAGTGACAGATTGTCAGGCTGACCTTCAGGTTTGAGAAATGTTTCGTTGATTGCCCCAGTTAAGGGCATTGGCCATGCAGGTCATTGACTGTACGGGAAGTAGCAGAAGAGACTGAAATATCCATTATCACATGTTCTACAATTTTTAGCAGAAGATGCGTTAAATGTCAGTAAAATATGTACCAAGGCTGTTGACTGAAGATAAGAGGATTCAGTGTGTTTCAATTTATGAAATATCTCCTGCAGTGAGTGAATGCAAACATCTTTTTGAAAAAGTCTTCACGGGAGATGAGACTTGTATTTATGGATATGATGTTGAAACAAGGCAGCATTTATCACTGTGAAAGAGTCCAGATTTGCTGCACCCAAAAATCGTGACAGTGAAAATGGTGATTTTTTTTTCAATTGTGGCATTGTTTATCATGCGTTTGTTGCAGCTGGTATTATCATCTGGAAGTTCTGAAGCATATGAAGTAAACATACAGAAATGTGGAGTGCAGGTAACATGGTACCGCCATCATGACAGTGCAACAGCTCACTGACTGTTTGCTGACTCCAGAGTTCTTGACAAACCAACTGATTCCTGCCCTTCCACAACCTACATTTTCACCTGATGCACCTCTCCACATTTCCTGTTCATTACACTAAAAATTACTGTGAAACAAAGATTTCAAATGGCAGAGATCATTATAAAAACAAAGACAAACTTGAGAGTATTTCAGTGAACATTCTTCAAACAGTGCTTCCAAAATTGGGAAAGGTGACGGGAGGAGTGCATTCATGGTCAAGAAAATTATTTTGAAGGCGTAAATGTAACTTAGCTGTAAATCATAAAATAATAATATTGATGAATTCCAGGGACTTTCTAAATAGACCTAATACAGGAAGATCAGAATGTTGGGGGAAAAAAATATTTTTTTTTTTTTAATTTCAGGCCCAAAATTGAAAGAGCTGGACCTCCTCTGAAGAATATGGAGTTTGTAATATTGGGAAATACCACTAGACCAAAGGATGAGCTGAAAAAGGAAATTAAAAAGCTTGGTGGGAAAGTTGTAACAAAGATCCATGATAAACTTGCTGCTGTAATTTCAACCCCAGGTAAACTTTGAGGACTGTATGAACTTCCATATCACACTTTTAAGTAAAACCCTTTGTGATGTGCAGTGTGGTCACATTTTATGCGAGGGATGTGTTCCTGATGATCTCGCATAATTCAGTATGTTTTGAAACACACATGTGATTCTTGCTTAATTCTTTGGGAGTTGTGTTATTTGAAACTTTGTGCATGAGGTGAGACTTTATTAATACTGTTTATAGCACACTATTTTAAATTTGCATAAAATATGACTGCACTATACTTGGAATTAACTGATGAAGTAACACTGTCTGAAATATTAAACGCACCAAAAGAGTAAAAAATTTTAGTGAAACCTGAAGGGACACCTTGGAAGGCCTATGATATGTTAATATGAAGATGGATCTTAAGGAAAGGTTAAGAATATTTGAAGTGGACTGATCTGACTCTGAATAGAGTACAGTGTGAAGCTTCAGCAAACACAGTGATTGTGTTTGTAGTTTCTTCACCTTCAGTGTTGCAAGACTGTTAAAGTGACGGTAAAAGGTGCATAAACTGGTGTGTTGATGTGAGGAGTTCATGTTCAATTTGTATTGCCAGGCATGCAATATCATATATTATTTAAGAATAATAAAAAAATCAATACAAATATAAATTTGAACAATTAAATAAAGATGTAATGTCAGTCTGTGTGTATTGTCACTATTTAGAGTGACTGTACGTGGGTTTCAGACTGATGATCGCGTTTATTACTCTTACAACACATAAATACAACAGTCTCACCGAGTTAACACTCAAAAGATCGCTGTAACTGCAGCACACAGAAAGTCTTCTCAGTCTTCAGCCGTTGCTCATTAGCAGTTCCAAAGCAGAGGTTCGCATTACTCTGGGTTCCCAAACTGTTCCCGGCCTCAGCTGCAGCAACTGTTGACTATCAGACTAAGACACTCACCAACTGACTCCACTGCACTGGCTGACTGGCTGACTGACTGACTGCAGCTGAGAGTACTTTGCTACTACCAATCAGTTTGTCTTGGCACCAAGCCCCATGAGGCTCACAACCAGAATTTTTTTTTCAACTAAACCCTTACAATCGTAGTCCTTACACCACATCCTCTCTAACAATAGGACGGGTTTGTCTCTTATGGATATGCTTGGCCTTCGTCAAGTGTACATATCACACACACATCAAGTGTAACTCTCCACACTTATAACATCTGGACACTGATTGAGCAAGAAACCCCGTTCCTCATTGTTGTAGTTCAGTTGTTGCTGAGGAAACATGTTTGGTTGCGAAGGAGTTACTCAGTAACAGCTGTTGTGTATTTGCTTATCTCACACTTGTTGCCTAGCAACACATCTATATGGTTTTGTTGCTGTTAGCAAATGGTTAAGAAGCCAGGAATTTCTTAACTATCCAAATAATGCAGTGGCTCGAGAAGGACGCCACACCATGAAGTCAGTTTCGCTGTTAGTAGCCACCTTACTGATTGGAAGCAATGCGAATGCCCGCTGTGTTACTCTGCAAGGTTTATTTTTTTTTCCAGATGAATTGGAGAAGATGACTAAGAAAATGGAAGACGTTAAAGCCTGCGATATACAGGTGTTGCCTGAAGACTTTTTAGATGAGGTAAAGGATGGTGGGGCTCTGGCCTTAATTTCCGAAAGGAATATCTCTTCATGGGGCTCAGATGTGAGTACGCACATTTAACGAACTACCACTCACGTGTTCCAGCCTATGTTATACCCTTGTATGAACCTGTGACATATGAGTGCACCGCTAAGGATGGGTGCTGTGTACTGCATGCTGTCAATATGCGACCCTTATTACATGTAAATTTATGTTCCTTTATCAGTAACATAGAATTCACTCACAAATGGTAAACATTCCCTCTTCTCTGACCCATACTGTGTTGTGTTGGTGTTACGTTGAGTACATCACAAGTTTTTGGGAAGATAAGTAGCCAGTCAAATACTGTATAGTGTGGCTGTGACAATGTCAGATCTCTATTTCAGTGTTCATAGAACAGTTGCTCTACGTTTCCTTGCTTGAAATCTTTAACAGTCTGAAGTTGTACAATGTTTCTGTTTCCCACCAAGTAGCATTTAGCAGTATTTAGGACATCCAGATATTTTTCTGGGGCAAGCGATAGTTGTAGTTGCTTGAGACACTATGCTACAAGCTGGAAGGTCATGGGTTTGATTCCCGATGACATCATTGGATTTTTCAATTGACCTAATCCTTCCACCCATACTTTGGCCCTGGGGCTGACTCAGCCTCTAACAGAAATGGGTACCAGGAATCTTCCTGGGGGTAAAGGGTGGCTGGCGCATAAGGCTGACAAACTCACCGTCAAATGGGTACCAGGAATCTTCCTGGGGGTAAAGGGTGGCCGGCGTGTAAGGCTGACAAACTCACTGCCATCTGTGAGCTGATTGTCTACAATATGTTGGAGCCTTGATGTCTCACAACCCTATGGGCCTCTACAGCCTGTTACAGAGATAGCTTTACCTTTTACATATTCTTTTGTAAAATTCCAGGCATATGAGGCTGAAACATGAATGATGTTACAAATTCTGTATAGATTGTGGGGGCTTGGTATCTTGCACCTATACAGAAAGGGTGGACATTTTTGTTGAGATCCTTGTGACAGTCTGTATTTCTTAAAAAAATTTGCATATCATGTGTTGTGTCATGTTAACAGTTTCATCCTTTCAATTTTAATATTTTGGTGGTGCAAGCCCTGAGTAAAAAAGGTATTTAACACATTGACACTGTTTGCAGCCTCAAAAGAGGATAGCAGTGGATGTGGTTGACGGCAACAAGAAGTCTAAAAGTGGAAGTAAGTGTTATCTTTTGTATAAATGCCTTTCATACAGTGACAGCTGTGTCAGCTTTTTGTTCCTCCATTTCTTGCTGTTTCTGATTTGGTTTTAGGCCATCATTGCAGTTTCTGTAATGCAAAACTCATAACTAAAATTTCTGAGGTGAAAATATAGCATTTAATTATGAACAAAGTAATGAATGTTGGGGTTTCATAAAAGTGCAGGGAAAATCTTGACTAGTTGAGTTACTATTAGCTTTCATATCTCTAAAGGAGGTCACTGAGCCAAATTACAGACATTTCCCACCCAACAGTAGTCTCTAACGCCTCTGATAGATGGGGCAAGCATTATAGATACCTCTCAGCTAGTAGAGCTGGTCTCGCTGGCTGGGCGGGACTGATGGTAAGCACCAGTACTGGTAGGATATAGAGACTGGTAGAAATCATGGAGGGAAGCACACTGGACCAATACAGGTCTAAGTGCATGGGGAAACCCACCCTCTCCAATAACTAACTAAGTACCATTAGCTTCTCAAAAAGGACTCGGCTGCTTGTAGTTAGTTACAATGCATGAAGGCTGTTCCATAGCTTAGGCTGTTAGTTGCCAACTTCTCACAGCGGGGGTCTGATTACAATCCAAGGATAGTCGGTGTGAGACTTGTGGTGGACAAAGTGACAGTTGGGCACTTTAATACCCCCTGCCAGTTATGATTCCAGTAACCCTTTCTAGTCAAACCTCGATATATACTCAACATGGTGACTGTGCTTCCATGGACAAATGTGGATATATAATCAACAAACTTTGTTTCATGTTTCTGCTTTCATATTTTGATCATGTGTCACTAGTTGGCACTATAGACTATACCAATGCATGCATGAATGTTTTGTCTGCCTCCTTCTGCCATCTGGAAGTCATAATTTGAACTTCATGAGGAATGAATGTCATTCATGTTTTTTACTGTGCATCAATACTATCAACATGGCTTTACATGCAAGCAGAGTTCTGCCTTCTCACGTGAAAAAGCAGAAATATAATTGCATGTATGCCAAGGATGGAGAGTCAAGGAATATATCATCAGAAAGTGAATGTGAGTGTGAGTGTGAAACAAGTTTTCCGTGTATTGATGGGTGGGAAGATGTGACAGTCGGCAACAAGAAACCCAAGGCATACACATTTACTAAAAATGCAGGGCCACAATTTAACATTTTGCCAGATGCAGAGCCCATGGATTATTTTACATTATTTTTCAATGATGAGCTTTTGAATAACATAGAGATGAACAGGTGTGCAAAACACAAAATTTTGGAACTTCATCCTAGCCCGAGGTCTATTTGGAGTAGCTGGTCTGATGTGTTAGTTCCTGAAGTGTATGCATTTTTAGGTCTAATTATAAATATGGACCTAATGCAATTACCCAACATAAAAGAGTCTAGTGAGAGGAAAACAGAGATTTTTTTTTTTTTGGTGACATAATGTCCAGAGATCACAGATATTTTGGATGATGCATGTGGGAAAATGATACTACCAAATAAAGCCATCAGGCCATCAAAAGGACAAGAAAGTACATGGGGTAATAGAACTTATATAGAAACAGTTTCAGAAAAATTTTGTGCCATTGCAGTAGATAAATCAACAGTTGGGTTCAAGCGCAGAATAATTTTCAAAACTTATAATCCGAATGAAAACCAATGAAGTGGGGAATTGGTTTATTTGTATTAGTTGACAGTGACACTGATCATGTTCACAGTATAATTCCAAATTACAGAAAACGTACAGGTGACTTGTATACCTTGCTATACTCTGAAAAACTGTTTGTTTCAAGAATAGTTATTTCCTTGGTGGACAGACTATGACTCAGTGTGTCTGGTACTGAAGACTACCACCTTTTCACTGACATATTATAGCGGTGTTGAATTGACCCAAGAAGTGGACATTGAAAATGTAAGTACACATTTTGCTTTTCAAATTTATGCCCTCGTTGAACCAACTTTTTGAGCAAAACACTTCACTTAGTTGCTCGGCAGGAATTTAAAAACCCTCTTGTCCTGGCTGCGGATATTTTTCCAAATGTGCCGACCGGAAAGGGTTAATTCTCCATACTTATTTGTTGTCAGGAACTGGTATAATAGGCATGTTTGAGACAACAGTACGAAGAGACTTAAGCCTCACTCCACTGTTAAAGCTAATGTTAATGTAATGTGTTTGTTCAGGCATGTTCACAAAAAGTATGCCATCTAAGGTAAAGCTGAAATTGAAAGGAGGCGCTGCAGTTGACCCTGATACGAAACTGGAAGATGTTGCTCATGTGTATAAGAAAAAGGACGATATCTACAATGCAGTGCTTGGGGTAACGGATATCCAAAATGGGAGGAACTCCTATTATAAGCTACAGTTGCTGGAAGGTGATGCAGGAAACAGGTATGTCAGTACTGGCTTCATATGGCAAAACAAAGAGAAAAAGTTTGAGAACGTTATCTTGGGACACCAGATTTAGTACAACCATAAATGGAGAAAATAATTTGACTGAGGACTTAAAAGTTGACCACCAGCTGAAAGAAAACCTTATTAGGGATTTGCATGGCTAATAATAATGGGTTCTGGATTTGATGATTGGGTTTATTAGCACGTCTTTACAGTTGCAGTTAATTGTAACAGCTCATACATTGAACTCTTCTGAATGAACTCCCTTTTATAACTGCCACATGGCCCGAATATAAGTCATCATGTCACACAGTTCATTTCCTCTATTATTCTGTGTTATCCGTTGAAGCGGAAACATCTCAAACAGTTCCTCTGTTATTCTGTGTTTCCATTGCAGCGGAAACATCTCAGACAGTTCGTCTGTTATTCTGTGTTTTGTCCATTGCCAAGAAACGTGTCAATTTCGGGGCTTTGATTTCTCCAAGCGTGTTTGTTGCCACAAATCATACGTCAATCTTGTGGCAACGCTTTTATTTATACAAGCGTATTCATAGCTACGGAACATGCTTTTAGCAAACCGTTGTCGAACAGTGGGCTATTCAGTGACAATATTTATTTCTGCAGGATACAGTTCTCATAGTTCATGCTGTATGTCCCCCCCCCCTTTTTTTTTGCACGAAGGTGTCAAGATATTCTGTCCTGATGAGTACCTTAATTTCAATATCACAGTATGATGCTTTCTATTTTATCATGTGTGTTATGAGATGATGTACAGCTAAACCTGTGGTCAGGCATAGTAACTTTCTCAGGTCAGTGTTTATTGTCTTGCAGGTACTGGGTGTTTCGGTCATGGGGTCGTATAGGCACCACCATTGGAAGCAACAAATTGGAGGCGATGGATTCCCTGCAAGATGCTCTTCGCCACTTTGAGAGCCTGTATGAGGAGAAGACTGGAAACATGTGGTGCAATAGAAAACATTTTGAGAAAGTTCCTGGCTGTTTCTACCCTGTTGACTTGGATTATTCTCAAGTATGGTTGGATTGCACAGTCAAATCCCAATTTAGTGTTTTCAAATTTAAAGAAATTATGTACTTGGTGAATATTTTTCTGGTCCCAGCTGAAACCCAGTGTAAACATCATGTATTTTTTCCGTATTTTGTTCATTTCAATTACATGAATTTTGTTTGGTGTAAAAGATATATTATGTATAGTATATTGGGATTTAAGACTATCCTGCATTTTGTGGCCTCAGCAAAAGCTCTATATAAGTAACATTTATTTCTCCTCAAATTAGTATTTTACCTGCATTTAGTAAGGAGAAAGCCAGTCCCTCATTAAATCTGTTTTTCAGTTTAGTCTCATATTTACCTGAGTGGAAAGTAAGGTTCCCCCCCCCCCCCTATATTTGGGGGTTAAAAGTCAAAGGGTGGCCTTAAATTTGAGACTCAAAAATATATTGTTTTTAGAAGTTCTTAGCTTTTAGTGGGATGATGTTTCTAAGATGCAGTTAATGCTGACATGTGCTCTGGAGTATGCTGTGAGCATACATGAGAGATAGACAAATATGTTTCTAGGTCAAGAGTCACAAGCCATAACAAGTTTGCTGGAAGAACCACAAAAGCTGTGGAAAGATATGACAGTGAAGGTCATGAAGTTGACAACGGTGGAGACGGTAGAAAAACCAACTCAATGTATAACACTGCATGAAACTAATAAAATCATATTTTACCTGCGGGCATGTTTTTTAATTCTAGAATCAGTTATCTTCCAATCAGGTGAATATGGTATTTACTAGCTGTTTACTCAGAGAGACCATGAAATCTGCATATCATCTTGTCAAACAACCTTGAGCCAGAGCCAGCACAATTCTAGGTACCTCACCAGGCAAAGGGAATTTCTGCCTCCCCTGCAGTTGGCAACAGCTTGAATTTCTCAAAACTCAGTCATAATTAATGAAACAAAGTTGCTACACTTGGTGCCATCCAAACCTAAATGTCGTTGCTCCATAGTTTACAAAGCGAACTGCTTTCTCAAGACTTAATTACAGTTAGTAATTAATAACAAAATGGCCAGTGAATTCTATACTGAGGCCATGCCATAGGTCAGGAAGTTAGTCACCGGCTTCCCACTGCCACGACCTGGTTTTGAGCCCAGGTCAGGTCATGTGGGATTTGTGGTGGACATTGTGGCACAAGGGCAGGTTTTCTCCAAGTACTTCAGTTTCCCCTACCAATCTTCATTCCACCAGTTTCTCCACAATCATCATCATCTGGGGCTGGTACAATAGGCCCATGGTGGCCGCAGTACCAAGTAGACTCAGTCTCACTCCACTAAGAATAATAATAATTCTATTCTGCTGTTGACTGAAGTCATTAATACCATTTTAACCTGCCTAGACCACTGTACACATTCTTTGCATTCTTGAACTATTTCTTTTTTGGCTTATGATTGGCAGTGGAATGAATGAATACGGAGTGGGCCTTTACCACTCCTTGCACCACGACCATGAGTGATCTCTTGTGTGTGTCCCTCTGTTCAGCATTCTCCCAACAATTCAAAGTGGCATCTTTGTAGTCACCTGGTTCCCATGTGACAAAATCTGAAACTGTAGCCTCACAACCACGTAGGACATACAGGGTTGATTCACATTTTTCTAGGTACATATCAGAATATTGTTGGATCACATGGACTAGGAAGACGGAATCACAGAGGTCAAATGCTTATTGACTTTTGTGAACGAAATGGATTGATTGTTACCAACACTTGGTTCAAGAAGCCAAAGAGAAGAATTTACACATGGAAGGCACCTGGGGATTGGAAGAGGCATCAGCTGGACTACATCCTTGTGAAACATCGATTCAGAAACAGTGTGAAGGATGTGAAGACGCTTCCTGGGGCAGACATTGACTCTGACCACAACTTGCT